GTTGAAGGAGATGCAGGGGAATGAGGTTATGGGGTTGCAGGAGGGCGAGGTTGAGGGGGCGTCGGTGGAGGTGGGTGAGAAGAAGGGGAGGAGGAAGGGGAAGAAGAAGGCTTGATGGGGTATGAGGTATGACTTACGAATAGTGAGGTTTGAGGCATTCGTGTGGAGTTTATCATTTAGCGGCATTGGCATGGTCATGGCTATGGCCTAGGATAGCGGAGTTGGAGTTGTCAGACATCAGATACCCACTTAGAACGTTGAATATAGTCCTCGATAGGGCATTTGTATCACATCAATCGTCATCACAAAACCACCAAATGTTGAAGATAGATGCCTTGAATTCTCTCCATGAAAACTCCCCTAACCAAACATTATACGCCCCCAGCCCATACCCATGCATCTCAAACATTGCGCATAAACAATAAAAAAAGGAGCGCAACAACAAGTATATGTATACACTATACACGCGTTCCATTCATGTATCTGTGTGTCGGAAAAGAAGGTAGGAAGGAAGAAAACACAACGTCGTTGCCCCCCAGGCAAAGGGAAGCCAGCCGTGTCGTGTCGGTCGTGAGAGTCATGTCATATGCTAAGGTCGTGATGTGAAAGAGGGAGAGATATTCGTTCATGACCCCAGGAATGCCAAAGAGAGAGTGTCGTGAAAGAGATCCAATGGGGTGGGAGATGAAAAGATTTGATGCATGCTGTGATTTGATGTTGATTTGACGATGTGACGATGTGAGATGGAATGCAGTGGAGAGGTGATGAACGCCGTTGTATCCGTGTTTGCGCCGGTGGGAAAAGCAATGTTGATGGGTTTGCTGGGTTGATGGTGGGTCGAAGCAGTTGGTCATCCAAAGGAGGAGATGGTCGAGAGTGGCTGTTGGGTACGAGATATCAGGCTGGTATCCAAGTGGTAGTAGATGTTGGACAGATAGCGATGTCGAACACCTCAAATCCAGTCATCGTCTACTTTGTTCGTACTGCCAATGGCAATCTCCCGCTCAAAACCCAGTCCGAGACCAAGCCCAACATCCATCTTAGGCGGTGCCATGAGCTGTGGTGGAGGTTCCGTCTTCTTCTTCGGGCTCTGCTTGGCAGGACTGACACTGCCGCCCTTGCCATCGCCAGCACCCATGCGCACAGTCTTGACGTCCCAGTCGTCTTCGAGGGCGGCGCCGATCCAGACTTTGACGCTGTCGTGTACAGCGCCGTAGTACTTGGGGTTACAGGCGCGGAGGTGGCCGAGCAGTTTCTCGAAGCCTGAGATCTTGAGTTCGGAGCGGAACTCGTTGCGTGCGGTGCGTGTGGGGAGAGAGGCCATGATGCCGTTGAGGAGGTCAATGTGAGTGGCGAGGTAGTTGGTTGCGTCCCATTCCACGCCACCAACGTAGGGTGCTGCAGGAACGATTGCGCGTTGACCTGGGAAGTGCGTTTTCGCGTACGACTTTCCCTCCGTAGGCTTGGGGGGAACGGGAATGACGTTGAGGTGGTGGATGAAGATCCAGAAGACTTCTTTGGTCACGTTGGACAGCTCCTTGCACCAGACCTGGTAGGGCCGCTGTGTGTGCATCTGAAGGATGAACGGAACCGTCGAAGCCTGCTTCTCTTTAACAGGGTCTTTCAGGTACTTCATCAGCTCTTTGGCGCGGGTCTCTAGCTCGCCCTCGGGTGCCATGGAGATGTGAGCGAAGATGATCTCGATGATGAGTTCACGCGTAGTAAACTCGCTCGGACCTTTGTGCTCTTCGTCGAAAAGCATGGCCAGTAATGCTGGGTACAGTGTCGACGAGATCTCATTGAGCTGCTTGAGAGCCGTGGCGGTTGTGCAGAGTCCCTTGAGACATCGAAGGAGTTCGTGCAGAAGCGTGTCTTCGTGGTCTTCGCGCCATTCAATCTCCATGATGCGGTGAAGCAACGCGACCAGCTCAGTCATACCACCATCCTGGATGAAGTTGTCAACCCAGTCGACAGTCTCGTTACGGATTAACAGGCGAAGCTTGTGCAGCTTGCCGACTTCGACGTTCTGTGGCTTAGGCGTCTTCTTCAAGTAGGAGATGAACTCGTCGGCCTTGACCGATTTCGCTCCGTTGGACACAGAACGATCAGAAGCATTGGACCTTAGTGACCTCATAGACGGAGACTTGGGAATAGGCGCTGGTTTTGAGTTCGTCTTCCGTTCGCCGGATTCGCCCTTCTGCTTCTTCGTGGGAGAGTCACTCCTGTTGAAGGTGAATGTTCGGCTCCGCGGTCGCTCACGCTTAGTAGAGTTGGCTGACTTGTCCGCTTCCGCCTCATCCTCTGCATCCTCGACGGCAGATCCATGTCGGGACTTGGACGACTTCTGTGGCGCCTGCTTGGTGTTCTCGCCAATGGAAGACTGGGCGGAGTTTGTTCGTGAGGTCTGGGGTATGTCAAGTTTGTGCATGCGAACAAAGTCGGCCTTGACCTCGAGCTTCAGTGTCCGCATCTGAGCACGTTGATGTGTGGGGATGTTTCGAGATTCCTGGCATCATTAGCAGGTATTCATTTGTATCTTTAGACAGCACTTACCAGAACCTCCTCGAACTCGGCGTCTACCGCCTTTGGATCGAGCTTGGCAGACGCCGGAGCACCGTCAGCTTGCTTTGACTTTCCGTTAAAGGCAGCAACGGCAGCCATGACTCGGTTCTGCTTTTTGGTTGTGGCTGGCGGCGGCGGCGGCGCCATGGAATTGAGACTGTAGTCCTTACTGCCGGTGTCGGTACTAGCCCTACTGAGTACGGGTCTTGCCGGCTTTACAGGAGAGCTCTCCCTTGTGCGTCCCTCGTTGCCCTTGGTGTCTGATAGAGGAACGCGCTCGTTGCTCCGCTTGCGCGAGAAGGTCTCAAGCAAGGATGCCGTGGAAGTCGACTTGGGAGCAAACATGGACTTGGGCCGCTCTTTCGGGGCAGGTCGGAGGGCTGGCTGGCCGACCTCGAAGAAGTTGCGCTGCTTGGTGGGGGAGTAGTCCTGGGGAGTGTAGAGGGCAATCTCCTCCTCGACGCTCCGTCGCTGATCGTTAAGCGGGACTTTGCTCGTGGTGGTGACTTCCTGCTGGGAGCTGAACTCGGCCCAGATGGGAGTGCGAGGCGGGGCCTTGTCGTGGGAAGAGCGGGGTGGTGTGGTGTTCTCCTTGTCTCTGCTCTCCTTCACAGGTGACTTGTCTCTCCGGCGCCCGCCAAACATGGCAGCCAAATTGGTCGACGACTTTGTCTTCTTAGGCTTCTCGCCCATTTCAGCCTCTTCCTGAGATCGCCGCGAGTCGAATGACTTCTTGTAGACCGGCTTCTCCTTCTCCTCCTTGTTCTCCTTCTTAGCCAGTGACCGCAGCGAGACGGAACTGAGCGTCTTCTTGTGCAGGCTCTTTTTGGGGCTCGAATTGACGTCTCGCGACTTGCGCGGTGACGGCGGATTGGTGGGAATGTTCTCCGTCTGGTTTGCCGCGCGCAATTGGCTATGGGGGTGGTCTGGCGGCAGGAGCGGCGCCTGGAAGTTGGAGACAGGCATGTACGGCGGGCTGGCTATCTGGGTGTTGTTGTGCAGCCCAGCGCCCTCGGTCGGCGAACGCTTGTGGCCTTTGTTCGCGATGATAGACTTGAGCACTCCAGCTGCAGCGCTCCGGTTCCGTCTATGCGAAGGTGCGGCGGTGGCCATGTCCGGCGTCGACATGATGATGCTCCAACAAGATGGGAATTGGGGAAGCGTCGACTGAGGTCGGGGCCGGGAAGAGAAGGCTTGAAACGTGGGTTGTCTATAGCAGAAGGATGGCGGGCATATTTGGGGAGGCGATGAGGCACATGGCCGGCATACTTTGTGTTTACCTCGCGGACATGGCGGGCGATCCCCACGGCAACGACACCAGCGCGTGGGGAGCACGCTAGGACCCGCTAGACGCCACATTCATGCGTTAGACATTAAACATTGCACCCGTCATATCTCGCCGTGGTTTACAAGGCCGCTCTATGATGGCCTGCATCTGGACACCTCCACACCACCTGCATTTCCCCAGTCGCGTCGCGTATTGTTGCCTCCAAACACGCGACCCTCTACACTGGCACCACCCGCTATCGTGTGTTGACATCGCGAAAGAAGCTAGCACATAACCTCCGAGGCACTGACCGCTCACGGCAGCGTCACTTGACAACAAAAAATTGCCTTTATGCACCGCGAGCTTAATGTCGCACTGACGCCAACCGCTATTCACAACACGGGAAGCCGTTGCCGGTGTAGGTATAGAAGCGAAGGATGTATATTGTGTTGTGAAGACCATTGTACAACGCCCACTAGCACATTGGCAGGCACCCAACTATTCCCAAATCACAACAAACCACGATGCCGCCCTTTTCCCTGCGTATGCTACCACCATGCTTTCGTCCCATCCTTAGAGTTGGTTCGCCAACCCTCGGACGGTCCTTCTGCGCTTCTCCATCTCTCCGATTCGGATCAGCCCGCCCATGACAGACAATCCTTCGTCCCCACACCCAGTGGTGCCAACGCAGATGCCCTTGGTAGTATCCGCACAGTCACAGACGTTAGGCATGCAAACTGTGCCGATCGGACAGCTGGCTGAGGTCCTGCATTGAAGGATTCCTGGGTCAGAACAGTTTGTCGCATCCTTGTCGTAACAGACACCAGCGCCATCCATGGTCCTTGCGCACCGGCATGACGAAGTTCCGTTTCTGTTGCACAGGCGGTCAAATTCGCAGTTGGAGTCGCATGCACGAGATGCGCACACTCCGTTGTTGCAGAGGTTGCCCGCGACGCACGCGTTGTTGCAGCGGCCACAGTGAAGAACGTCAGTCGCGAGGTCGCGGCAGGCGCCGTCACAGAGACCAACGCCAAAGCCTCCACACACGGGTGGGCTGGGCGTTGCGCTCGTTGTGGATGTAGTCGACGATGTATCGGTTGTTGAGGAAATCGATGTAGTGCTGAATGACAGCGAAGAAGATGATGTCGAGGACGACGGACTGCTAGTAGACATGCTCGAATCACTGGAGGTTGAAGTTATGATTGTAATTGTTGACAGCGAGGAGGACGAGTCTGTGGTGCTCAATGAGAACGACGATAAACTGCTGACAGACGTGCTTGAAACACCAGAGGTCGTCGGGTCTATAATAGTGGACGATGACAGCGAAGACGACGAGTCGGTGCTGCTCGCTGAAGACGACGAAGGCGATGAACTGCTAGCCGATGTGCTCGAAGCACTGGAGGTCGGAGTCAAAGTAGTGGTTGATGACAATGACGACGACGAGTCCGTGCTACTCGTTGAAGATGACGAACTACTACTTGCAGACGAACTTGAGTCGCTGGAGGTAGGTGTTGCACTGCTTGAAGATGAGAATTCAGTACTACTAGTTGAGCTCGTCGAGACGCTGCTGGAGAAGCTCGATATGTCCGATGTGCTTGATGAAGAGCTGCTGGAAGAGCTTTCGGATGACGTAGTACCTGGCGAGGAGCTTGGTGTCATGGTGGATGATGAAGACATGGAAGAGCTTGACATGCTGCTTGTGGCAGGGACTTCTACCGAGGAAGTCGAGGAGCTGCTTGATACCGTGGACGAGGTGCTTGAAGTGGCGGAGGGCTCAGTCGAAGTACTAGATGAGCTACTCGAGCTCGTGATGGATACATCGCTTGTGGTAGATGACGATGTGCTCGAACTACTGGACAAGCTGCTAGATGAGCTGCTTGAGCTAGTAGACGAACTACTAGATGTTGCAGATGAAGAGCTGGAGGAACTGGATACAGTCGGTGTACTTGACGAGCTGCTAGGCTCAATCGACGATGCTGAAGAGCTAGAGGAACTGGATGAAGTTGGCGTAGTAGACGAGCTAGACGAGCTAGACGAGCTAGACGAGCTACTACTGTCGGTCGAGGATACTGAAGAGCTTCCCGTGCTTGAAGTACTACTCGAGGTTGTGGATGAAGAGGTAGGAGAACTGGTTAAAGTTGGCGTGCTAGACGAGCTGCTGGATTCAGTCGAGGATACTGAAGAGCTTCCTGTGCTGGACGACGACGTAGCCGAGCTCGAAGAACTATCCGTGCTCGAGGATGACGAGATGGTAGAGCTAGTGCTGCTAGAAACACTACTGGACACCGAAGACGAGGTAACCATGCTTGAAGTTGAGGAGCTCATCGAAGACGATGGTGTGATGATTGGGCAAGATGTTCCGGTAATTGTAACGCTGGTATACGTTGTAGTCTCAATATCTGTCACAGTCTAGAACATGATTAGCTGTTACCCATCGCACACTGACATAAAACTTACGGTGCTAAGATAGGTGATAGTATCTTCGGTGATGCTCGCACATCCGCAAACAGATCTGTATTCTTGCGAGACACAGGCTTGGGTGGCGTATGTAGGCACTGGTCCAAAGACGGTGGTCGTGGACCAGTTAGTTCCGGTTGGCAGTGCTTGTCGAATCCATAGTTTTTCTTCGTCGGAAGTAATGGGCTCATCTGTCGGAACGGGCAATACCTCCGAAGGGCATGGTGTTGTCAGAGTAGATGTCGTAAGAGTAAAGGACGTGATAGTGGTGCTGGAGTAGACTGTTAGTGTGTTCGACAGACATCTTGATTGGGATACAAACATTGGGTACCATATGACACTTGTAGTAAGGAAGTCATCGCAATCTTCTCCCGCCCTGATTATCTGACCGAATCCGCCGCTGCCGAAAACTGCGCGGAAGCAGTCATCCTCATTGCATTGCTGTCTAGTGTCGAGCACGGCTGCCAAAGCCACGGACAGGCTGAGGAAGGTAGAGAAGGTAGAAAGCTTCATCGTTTTCTAGTAACGAGTGTAGGTCGGACTAGGCTGATGAGCACGGCTACCAACCAAAGCAGCTTGAAGCAACCTTTATAAGTCGCCCTCACTATGCCAAAGACTAGTGAAAAAGCTGGCATGGCCAAGCCTTCCTTCTGTCTTTCCGAGAGGCCCTCATCTTCGCTCCAACATTCTGGTTGGTGTAGGTGGCGTCGCTGTGAGACTTGACGGTGGTCATCATTCTCAAGCAGAAGGCTTCTGACTCAGAAACTAGGGCATTGATCAGTGTCCTGAAATGGCGCGTTGGTGTTCAAGAAGTCATTTTCCGTCGCGAAAACAGCGACATTGCAAGGCTGTCGGTCATGTGTAGGGAAGCAGTGGATGATGCAATGTTCTGCTTCGCCCAATGTGTCGCATCTTGCAGAGGGGTTCGATATCATGACGTTTTTGTAAACAACTGGACTGGAACTGTAGTAGTATGCTGGCACAGCATGTCGCCATATTGTCGCATCGCCAACTTTTATACGATGATCTAGGCTTCCATCGGTAGGCTGGCGTCAGTAGCGCATGCAGGTACAAAGTCGTCAGACCAGCTTTCCATGATAGGCTAGAAAGACAGGTCAGCCGCTCTATGCGACGTTCATCTGTTATCTCCAAGTTCTACTGTAGGGTGCATGTCTTGACACTTGCGATGGCTGGGACATTAGAGCAGCAACACTAGTAGTGAGACTGTGAGGTACTTGGCATCATGACGGCCTCGTAACTGATCCTTCAGCTTCTGCCGCAGTGCCAAAATTCGCATGTAAGACATAGGTTTTAGCTCGGTAATGTGTGTCCTCCTGAGCTATTCCTACGTTTAGCACCAGCTCGCCCGGAGAATTAAGTAACCTTCTAGATGTACCGAGTGTTGTGGTAATTGCGAAATATTCGTATTGGAGTTCAGGAGTCTGATCATGGCGTTTTACTAGTAATAAGCTAAGTCGTACAGACTGTCTGGGCGTCCGAATCGAGGAGCTATGTTGTAGAGCTCACGCCACCACTTGGTGTGTGCGACAGTATTTGCGCGGCCTGAGATTTAGGCCGGTGGGAGGAAGTTAGCAAAAAGCATTCCCTGTATCAAGCAATACATGATGCTACCTCTGATAAACCACCTGGCTGTTCGTGAACGGTTTGCTGCCGGGCGAGTACTTTGTGAATCAGCCAACCACGTAGCGACGACTAGATACCACATCGGATAGCCGGAAGCAATTCGGTTCACAATCTGGACGTGAAAACTGGTAACGGCTGTTGCAGCCAGTAGTAATTGCGGGAGTGCCAATTCCGGTAGCTTGCATATCGCGGAGGTTCCGTTCCTGGATTTGGCTGTTTCACCAGTCTGGGGTACAGGACGCCCACGCAACGGGCGTGGGACACCGCTGCGGAGAATGGTGACACTTGATGTGAGGAGTAGCCACGAAACTGGTGCCGCTAGTATGAACAGAGGCAGATTTGAGATGGTCCAGTAACGGAAGAGTCCTACGTTCCTGGAAGAGGTCAGACTAGTAAGTCATCGTATTGGGGTAACTGACCAGTAATGGCTTTGTACCCACGAGTAAATGCTCGGGAAGGTCTTGTCACACCACGGTCTAGTTCCAGTGCCGCTGCCTCGGTCGCAAAATTCCGTGTATGCCAGATACTGCGGCCCGAAGAATGCCAGGGCTATCAGACTACCTGCCATGCATGTGACAAGCATCCTTCTTACATCTGGTATACGCAACTGCGCAGACGTCAGAGAGGGCATGTACTTAGCGACATCGTATAGGAGGATTAAGCCGCTGAGTAGACCGTTGCTTCGCATCAGTGTAGCTGCTGCGAAAAAAGCACCAGATCCAATCTTCTGAAAGTCCGCTCGAACCCATGACATTCCAGTCTCAGCCGCAGTTTGAGATTGAGCATAGAGGAGCATGCCTGTGAAATTGAGCAATGAGAACATGGCTTCGGCATACGGTGCACTCATAAAAAGAGAAGCTGGCGTCAGGATATGCAAGACAGCGGCGATGAATGGGATGATCTGTCGCCGTTGAGGTTCCAGGACCAAGGTCAATAGGCGATACAGCACTAGCACAGAGAGGAGGTGGCATATGTTGGAAAGGATGATTCCGGCCAGAGCATAGTAGTGCAGAGGAGCCTGCGCATCGCCAGCCATCACTGCGAGATATCAGTGCCGACCCAAATGACTGGGCCTCTGGTGCTCACATTGACCGGTTAGTCGCAGGAGATACGAGTACGCCCCGCTGAAGGCCCACGCTTGTTCGTGGACATGACCCCGCTCAGCTGCTTTCACAAAGTACAATGCGTCCCAGTGGAGCAGATTGAGGACAAAACGCTCATAGCGGGAGGTGACATCCAGCTCAACATGACGCCGGGCGCTCGCGTCGAGCAGTATGAGACCAGAGGTGTCGTATCCGGGACCTGGGCAGAATGCAGCGAGCGAGAGGAGCAGCGCTTTCCATAGGCAGAATATGGCGACGAGCTGCGCGTTACGCCCTTTCGCGCCGAGATTGATCGCGTTCATGATCTCGCATTGAAGTTGTCGCGGTCGATGATGGATGGTGAGGCACCACGCTACCATTGGGCAGGTACTAGCGCCGGCGAAACGTTCTTCCCCACCCGCGCGCACTCGCTTCTCTGGATTTCGGTGCCGACAACTTTTGCGCCCGCTTTCGAACGTTCGTCAAGTCCACCGTCGTCAATCTTTAATCGTCGCCGCCAACACACCAGGTAAGCGCATATCCGCCATGAATGCTCGGTAGCATATCACAATCGCACGTCTCTACATGAGCGTGTCGCATACAAATGATGGCTAGAGTGGAGAGCGGCTGAAAGGCCCTCTCCCTCTTACGAGATTCAGACCTATAGTGAATGAACATTCGCTAATGGTTTCTGTTCTCTATGACAGCCTCGACAATGCCTCCCAAAGGATCCGGAAAGAAGCCTGCGGCTTTCCCCCAGGCCACTTCTAAGTCGTCTGCCGCCAAGAAGCAAAAGGTCTGCCCATTCCCCAAACATTCAACTACAACCGCTCACAATGGAACAGAACCCTCTCATCGAGAAGCGTCCTCGCAACTATGGCATCGGTCAGGACATCCAGCCCCAGCGCAACGTCGGCCGCATGGTCCGCTGGCCGTAAGCAAACCCCGATCCACCGCAGATGGCAGATACTGACAATGTGCAGCGCGTATGTCCGTCTTCAACGCCAGAAGAAGATCCTCAACATGCGCTTGAAGGTCCCACCGGCGATTGCCCAGTTCCAGCACGTTGCCGACCGTAACCTTGCCACCCAGGCTTTCAAGATCCTCAACAAGTACCGTCCCGAGACCAAGGCCGAGAAGAAGGAGCGCCTCACCAAGGAGGCCACCGCCGTCGCTGAGGGCAAGAAGAAGGAGGACGTCAGCAAGAAGCCCTACGTCGCCAAGTACGGTCTCAACCACGTTGTTGGCCTGATTGAGAACAAGAAGGCTTCCCTCGTCCTGATCGCCAACGACGTCGACCCCATCGAGCTCGTTGTCTACCTGCCCGCTCTCTGCAGGAAGATGGGTAAGTGACTTGAATGCGCATATCAGCATCGAACTTTCACTGACATACATCAGGTGTCCCTTACGTTATCGTCAAGGGCAAGGCCCGTCTCGGAACGGTCGTCCACCAGAAGACCGCCGCCGTCCTCGCCCTCACTGAGGTCCGCTCCGAGGACAAGAACGAGCTCCAGAAGCTCGTCACCGCTGTCAACGACGGTTACCTCGAGTCGCACCACAAGGACGCTGCCCGCCACTGGGGAGGTGGTATCATGGGTGCCAAGGCCAACGCCCGCATGGAGAAGAAGAGGAAGGCCATCGAGAGCGCTATCAAGATCTAAGCGGGTCCTGATGTGCTTTCTCGATTTCATGATGACTTTACGGCGTGTCTCTTATCTCTGCATATAGTCGGTTCACAATACCAACGGAGTTTAGGAGGGTTAAAAGCGGTCGGCAAACGACTGCGTTGACTGGAATCAATCACGATAACGCACGTCATTCGCATGATTTTTTGCTTGTGATTATATTTCGATTATACATGCTGAAATATGAAAATCGCCTCAACTGCACTCACAGGAGTCGAACTGCTGTGATCCCACTTCCAGTTCCGATGGATGCGACAACCCACCCTAGAAGTTATCGATCCTCGTGCCGATACTGCGCTCATTCGCTATGCGAACAAGGTCACCGCCCACCACGACGTCCGTAAGACCCAGTCCCACACTCTTATAAATCACATTCCCCTTGACCAACCACTCAATCAAGCTCTTATGCGCCTTGTCCTCTCCTTCATGATGTTTCTCCTTTTTCCCACTACTTCCTCTCCTCGTCTTCTCCGTTTTCTCCCTCCGATTCATCTCGCACTCGCCCAACTCTACACCCCCTGTATCCAGTCCCTCCGCCTCCATCA